ACGTCGCCGCGAACAGCCGGCAGTGGCGCAGGCGGCGGCTTTGGCGGGGCGGCGGCGGCGGCGGGCGCGGCGGGCAATGCCTTTTTGGATAGCGTACTGTCCGACCCGGCTCATCGAACTGTGTCGAACTTAGCTGCAGGCGTGGACGCGGTGCTAGGCCTTATGGGCCGGTTGGAGCAGCAGGTTCACCACCGAGTGTCAGGCCAGTTGTCCAAATTGGTTTCGGAGGGTCGGCGCCGCGTGGAGGAGTTGCGGCAGATGCTGGCGGGTCCTGCGGGAATGGCGCAATCGCCCCAGCAGCAGCAGCAGCAGCTTCTGGTGCTCGCCAACGACTCGGTGCAGCAGCAGACAACAATACAGAAACAACCGCAGGCGGGGCAGCAGACGACGCAGATGATGGCGTCTGCCGGGCAGCAGTCTTCGACCTCGGCGTCGTCGCGCAGTGGTGTCAGCGGTGGTGGTGGTGGTGGAGGTGGAGGGGGGGGGTCGGCACGGGCAGGGCAGAAGGCACAAGCGTGGCCGGTGCTCCGAGACCAGGCGTTCGAGAACGAGCTTGCGGGCACCAAGGTCGACGTGGAGCGCGTCCTGGCGGACATCCAAGTGTTCGTCTCCCGCCAAAACATGCTGCTGGACAGCCACCGGCGACAGTCGGAGCAGTCCCGATTGGAGCGTGGGGTGCTGGCGGCGTTTTGGAACGCGCCCGAACAGCTGCTGTGTGACGTGCAGGCACTGCGGGACAGGCTCGCAGCGCTGCTTAATTCCCAATAATCATTCGCCATTGCTGACTAGAGGGTGGAACTGAATGGGCGCTAGATAGACGACTTTGGTGTTGCTTCTCTTACTGCGGCGGCCGCGGCGTCTTTGTGCGCGCTCTTTCCCTTCCTCTCTCTTTCTCTCTCTTTCTTTCTTTCGCCCTCCCTCGGGACGGCCGTGCTGACTGGCTGGCCCACGGGTGGCCCTATCCCACCACGCCAAGCGCAGCACCCATGCAGAAAGAGAGGGCACTTTTCATGCGAAATATGCCGTCTCCTCTGCCGTTCCAACTTAAAATTGTGTGATTGATGTGTTTTCAGCTTTTTGGGGTAGCTTGACTGGTATGGAAATCCAGCCTGTACGTGAGGCACAATAATAAAACGGCAGCAGAGGTTTGGGCGAACACATT